AAATTCTCTCTTTTTTTGGCTTGGTTCAAATTTCCTTGAATTCAACTTAGCCTCTGTGTTTTGCAATGAAAGTCTCTCACTGGAATCAAAAGTTTGTTCACATACCACAAATTAAACCTTTAAAAAAAAACTAAACCTTAATAAAGATAAGATGACTATAATAAGGAGTATTGGATTCGAAACAATAACTATTGTTTTAATTGAGTAAGACTATTAATTATCATGATTTTATTATAATGAAATTCAATTTTTGTTTCCTACAGTAATTATTATACCACGTAAGATGGTCGAAGCAAATGCCGACCAACATATGTTAATTCTATTTGGACTCTAATTAACGAAATATACCTTTTAAATGTTAAGGGATATTGAGGGGCATAAAAGTACGTTAATATTTTAAGGATATTTTTGTCACATAACATTTAGTATAAATTATTCGTGCTTTTATAATAATATAGAATAGATATAGATAGATAGATACAGATATAGATAGATAGATAGATAGATATATAGATATAGATATAGACTCTCCTGTTTCTAAATTGGATTTGGACAATATAATATGTTTTTCAATTAAATTTGTAATAAATATTTTTAAAGAAGTATATCCTAAAAGTAATAGGATTACAAGACAAATATCTATGCCCGAAAATAATTATATTAATAGAATTCGTAAAGGTGTAGGATTTAATCCATTGGATACTATTTTGTCTAATGAATTGATTGGCTAGTGCTTGCCGCATTAGAGTTCAGCAAAAGAACAATAACTACCATTACCGTCATGTCAGTTGAGATCAATTCTCACTTTTCTAATGTTCGAAGCTTGAGTAACTTTTTTTTTAAAGGCAACTTGAGTAACTTAACAATCGCAATAATTTGCCCACGTGAAACCTCTCATGTAGGATTCCTAACGTAGTATTATGTCTTAAAATTAATAGAATTAAGGTTAATGTCTAGAATTTCGATTATGTCCTTTTATTGTGAGTTATCATGCTTAATAATAAAAGGTTATTTTTGTAATTCAATATTTTATTCATGCTTTTATAACAACTAGTTTCTATGAACGTGTGTTGCACATTGATAATGTCACGTAATGATTTAGACAATTATGTATATGAAGGAACATGCAATAAGTTTTATGAGAGAAGAATACAAAAATCATTCAATGCCGGAAAATATTATTACATCGGCATAAGATATGAATTCAAAATGATTGGACAACATCATCTAAACCTGCATAAACGATCAATTTAATTATGTTAGTTAGACAATATAATTATATACTTATAGTATAGAGATATGTATTGTGATGATTCTTACCTAAGACTTCTTTATTGACGATGTTCTTGGTGTATGTTTCCTTCTGACACTTTGATTGTTCCGTCATGACCAGAACTTTTGTTGTGGATCGGATAATGATATTTCTCTTGAAAGTGCAACATATAGTTGTCCGTGCAAGAAAATATATTGCGGCAGATACAATCCTACATTTGTAATTGTTTGCCCTTATGCTTTATTTTTGTCATTGCAAAACACAAGCACACTAAAAATTATTTTCGGACAAATTTAAAAGGATATCTTTATTTTCTAGAAGCGAAAGTTGAATTGTGGGGATGAACACATGCTTGAAAATACATTGAACCATTATAATTTCTGCATGTATGACGTTGTTGTCAAAACCTTCTACATACCATCCTTGTACTATTGAATAAGTCATTTGATGGATCTAAGTTTCTCAGTGTCATGACAGGTGCATTTTTCTTCAAATCAACTTGTGTACAATGGAAGGTCAATATTTAAATTAATAAGTATATCTTCATAAACAAAAAGACGATAAAGAAAGAGTAAAAAGCACATGTTTTCATGTCTCACTTCGATTACAAAGAAAAATACAATAACTTTGAGAAGTTACCGGGTTTTGTTAACTTCTTTCTGCAGTGCCACAGTTTAAAACTTATAGTTATTAAAGAGTTTACAATTGACCTTTAAGTCTAAATCCCAGTGAATGAAGAAAATTATTTTCGCTCAACTACTGGTACCGAAATATGAAAGATTTTAGAGTTTCAGTGCAATAGGAAATAGAGTTCGTATTCGTAGTTCATATTTTATGCTCTAATTCAATTGTTCAATAGGGAATGCATTATAGAGTTCACTTTCGTAGTTTGAATTTATTGAATGCAACAACCATTTTTCAACATTAAAATTTTCAATATATGTGCATTATGCACTCATTTTTAGTACATACAAAATATTAGAGATTATGATTTTATTGAACGGATATGAATTCAAAAGATGTAACAACACCTTTCTGGCTTCTTTCCTCACTTAAAGCTATTACATATAATTCATCTGTGGTTCTTTTGACTTTACTCATTCCCCATCTAATAATGATAGACTATATCATAATTTTTTTTTAATTATTCTACCTTATATGAACTTTATATTTTAAATTGTAGAAAATTTACAATTAGACACTGCAATGAGAAGGTTCAAAAAAATTGCATATTGGAATCAATCAGTACAGAGCGCGAACAAACCTGAAAGTAGGGGTGTACATAGGTCGGGTTGATTCGGATTTTACAATTACCAAACCAAATCAATTGTGTCGGATTATTAAATCTAAAGACCAAACCAAAACCAATAAAACTCGGGTTTTTCACTCTCGATTTTTCTCGGATTTTCGGGTTATTCGAGTTTTTTCGGGGGTTTTTTCCGGTAAAATCTTCGTAAAAAAAACTTATAAATTATGCTCAAAATATTTCTTTAGTCCTAGTAAGATACAAATATATAAAGTATTATACAAAATATGAGATATGTCATGGCATTATCCTAAAATATTCAATAATAAAAACAATAAAATTATATAATATAAATATTGCTAATTAAAAAGTCATAATAAAAATAAGCATAATCTAAGAGTACTAAGTCATGCTAAAATAAGTAGACTAATAAGGAAGTATTAAATACATGACTAAACGCTAAAGAAAAAACAAAAAAAGGTAATGCATTTTTATCTAAATTATTGCAAAACAAAAAATAGATATTCAATACATTCCCGTCCGTAGTATTGAATTAAATGTCTTTTGTTAGCATTAGTATTGATTTAATTTTGGTTTGGGCTTTTGTTAGAACTATTTAATTTACTAATGTTAATGGTTATAAAACTTATTGGAACATTCAAAAGTTCTAAGTCCAACCTTGAAATAATACCTCAAAAAATAAAATTATGAAATCTTTTAAGAAATATTTATAAATTACATCACAATAAGTATATTTATATATAAAATATATCTAAAATTTTTATATATGTAATGTCTCGGCTTGGTTTGGTTTCGGTTTGATTTTCTTTAGTTAAAACCAAATCAAACCAATTATGATCGGGTTTTTTTTTCCCAATACCAAACTAAATCAAACCAACCCATAATTAGATTTTTTTCTCGGTTTGACTCGGATTATCAGGTTGATGCGGTTTGTCAGTTTGCTTTGTACACTCCTACCTGAAAGTATAGTATAAGGGGTAAAGAAAGAACATTATTGAAAATTTTGATGTTGAAAAATGGTTGTTGCATTCATTAACTATAGTATAAGGGGTAAAAAATATTTCCAACTCCTTGTTCACAGATAAATAGTTAGAGTTAGGATCCTTCACGTGGCCATTGAAGATATAATAGCTTTTGTTTTGTTCCAATAAATCTTTCCACTTTTCGACATGTTCATTGAAAAGTACTGTCTAGATCTTTATCCCCTATAAATTTATTCAAATATAATTCGATGTTAAGAAGAAAATAATATAAATAACTAAGAAGTATATGATACAAATATGCAAAAGAATACCTTTTCGTCCACAAATATCAATTGCCGCTGCAAACCCTCACCTAATTTGCTTTTATATTATATTATTGGTCCTTTTTCAATTACCAATACCTTTATTACCCATTCAACATCGGACTTTCTTAGATTATTTATAGGTACAATTTCATTTTGCCAAATCTCATTTCAGTGTCATTCTGAAAACAAATGTAATAACTAAGCAAAAGCTGCAAAACGATATATATCTTCTCTAAAGATAAAATAATTTTATTATTTACTACGGCTGATTCTCTTAATTAAAAAGGAAAAACCTTGATTCACTTAATTAAAAAAGAAAAACATTCTTAATTAGCGGTGGCAATGCTAGTTATAAATAGTAACAAAGAGTTAGAGGTCTAACCAATAGTAACAAAGAGTTAGAAGATCCAGTGATTCTGTGGTATGTTTCTGTTCAGAGGAATCAATACTTAAACTTTATATTAAAATCATTAATTATTTTATTACAAAAGTAAAAACACGCGCATCTTGGAAAAGATCCAAAGGAGCTATAAAATATGCGAATTAGGATTAACGATTAAACAAAATAATAGTTAAGCCAGGTGGAAAAGATCTAAACATAAGCCAAGTGAAAGAAATAATACCTTTGCTGTAGAATTTCGTTATGGATTAATATATTTCTCAAAAAGTTTATGACCGAGAATATAAAATAGTGGCTTCTTTTCTAAAAATGTTTGAGTCCTTTTTCCTAATGGATTTAGATAATATAATAAGTTTTCAAATTATTAAATTAGTAATAGAAATGGATTCCTAGAGGCATTAGTATTAGTTTATGATTCAGACAATATAATTAGAGATTGTCAAATATTAGAAAGTATAACTTGTTCCCAGAAAGGAATTGGTATTAGGTTTAAGGACGTTGGATGTAATATTGAAGTTTCTTTATTTAAAAATATCAAAAAGTTAATAAGCAAAATTTTGTTTTATTTTAAAAGCCCTAAATCATTTCGAAGTCCTAAATATTAAAGTAATTATTATATGACTTAGAATTTTGGTTATGTCCTTTTATTGTTAGTTATTATACTTAATATTATAAGGTTATTTTTGTAAACCGACATTGTACTAATAATATAGATATATATTGGTGAAAAAAAAGAAACAGATAAAATAAATAATTAAATGCTAAAAGCTAAAACGCTTCACATCTCTCAAAATCTAAAAATCCCTTTTCTATAGATTCTAAACCCTAGAAACTCTGAAACACTCTAAAATTCTGCCGCAACTCTTTAAGTTTGAGTTTTCCCTTCTCGTTTGGAAGCTTAGTCCTTGGTTAAGACTGAAGATGCTCGACTTTCTCGGTAAGTTCCCCAATTTCTATAACCATTTTTTCATATTTCAATCTTTTTCGCTTGTTGTACTCTATGTTTAGTTGCTGGGAGAATTAGGACGATTTTTCCCTTTTGCATTTCCACTGAGTTTCCAATTTATTCCGTTTATTTTACAAATAGGTTGGTCGAAACAGTTTCAATTTGATTCAGTTCTTCTTCTGTTCGATTAGTTATTTTGGTTTTGGGATTGTTTTGTATTTTTGTTTTTTGCAAAATCGAAGCTTCAATTCATTTGCATGACTCTTTATCTGTGATTTGAGATGAGTTGCGCTTCAAAGATTCTAAACAACATGATTTGGGGACATTACTTTCTATATGAGAAAAATGTTTGTATTTCTAAATTAAAAATTTGGAGCTTGTGTAGTGCATCTATACATCAATAAGTGGGTTAACTGAAGGTCCTTAGCTTTGTCGACTTATTCAGGGTTAAATTTTCTTGTAATAGAAATAATGAAGTTGCAAATTTAAGATTGCAGTAATCTGTAGTTATTGGCTCATAGTCTTCTTTGTGATATTGGAAGCTAGGAATCAATTTGTACATTTCTCTACTTGACTAGCAATTTTAATTGTATTAATAAAGCTTTGAGCTTCTTGAGTATCTGCGCCATCTTCCTCAGCAAGTTGGGCATGATCTTCAACTTATTCTCAATGTTTAATAACAGGTTAAACACAAAGTGAAAGGAGTTGTAAGTGTCTAGTAATAATGAACCTGACATTTAGCAAATTTTGCATAATCTGTTATGTTTTCATATATATACAAAACTGAAGTCAGTAGTGAATCCCAATTATATATAGAAAATAAAAATATATAGTAACTTCTATATCTGAAAATTTTAAAGATGCAGGCGTTCTGGTTTTGGTTTTAATCTGTTGAGCGGAAATGGAACCGTCACATAAGATGTCTGAGCTATTGTAATGGAAGAAGCTGATTTTCAATCTACATATCCCACAATTTGGAGTTTATCTGTGATATCTCACTATATTAGACGGTCAGATTCAAAACTCTGTATTATCCGTAACCTGATTTTATTAGTTCATAACATTATGTATGATAAAACTCCTCAGGTTCTTTATGATGGGTGAGAGTGAGACTTTCTTGCGAGAAAGCATATTAGCTTTGAGAGCGAGATTCTTTAGTTCTATTTTTCTACTGCTATGATATACTCATTTCGTATTGTGACAATGTTGGGTTTCTGATGAAATATTATTTACCTATTGAAAAGAAAGGTTCATGGCTTTGATATAAATATAACATATGTATGTTTGTTCATTCGTGCATCAGAAATGTGACAATATTACTCGGATGTGCTTGTAAAGTAAAATCCTCCTGGAACATGACCACATATTGTACAAATATGCAGAGGATTAGATGAGCTCATGAAAGAGATATCTGCCTGAGTGAAAACAGAAATTTATTTACAAGAGTGAGTTGCTCTAGTGGTAAGCATCCTCCACTTCCAACCAAGAGGTTGTGAGTTCGAGTCACCCCAAAAGTAAGGTGGGGAGTTCTTGGATGGAGGGATATCGAGGGTCTATCGGAAACATCTCTCTACCCCAGGGTAGGGGTAAGGTTTGCGTACACACTACCCTTCCCAGACCCACTAATGGGATTATACTGGGTTGTTGTTGTTGTTGTTGTTGTTGTTGTTGTATATCTGAAAATTTTATCAAATAATTATTGCGACGACTTAAGTATGAATAAGTAACTAGACTTGATTGTTTGTGTAGGCCTCTTTGATATAATTATCTTTTCTTGATAGCGCGCAAAATTTCTTTTTTTTAATATTGTTTTGCCTAAAATTAATTTATACAGTTCTCAGAACAATCTGTATATTGCAACAGTTATTGGATAGAGGGGGAGCAGAAGAAAGATGAGGTAGTAATCAGATTGTACTATATTTACTGGTTAATGATTACCAATTATCTTCCACTTTTACATGGCCGGATCGTACTACAGTTGTTGGATTTGCTGGTCAAGGTATGATACCTTCACTTGAAAGCACCTTTAAATTTAGTATTGATCGTAAATAGAGTGCTTTATGTGAAAAAATAGAGTTTGCTTTTGGATATATTGTTCTCAGAAATTCGCTCAGATGGTGATTCATTTCTTATGATTCTTGTACCTGCAACAGTTAAATGACTCGGTGTGCTATGTAATTTAAATTACAAGAGTTGAATAGTCTTAGCATCATTTTCAGATGTGTTATTAATTATAGTAATGGTATTCATTTCAGTTGTACATTACAGATGTATAGTCTCAAACTTTGCAATGTTGGCCATTACTACATTCACCAAAGTATCTTCTGCAAATAGAATACAAGGGATGGTAAACTTGCTAAGCTGTAGGCTTAAAAGTTGAGAGTTTGGTGTTTTCTCAAAACAAAATCTGTTAATAATCTATTTGGTTTTGATTACGGAATTGATTTGTACATATGCGTTCACACATATGTATGGTTCTTGTATACGCTTGCACTTAATGAGTTTGAACGTTTTTTCAAGTGGGTTATATCTCTGTTAGATTTGAATTATTTTGACAGAAAATCTATTAAACCTATTTCGCCATGGTAGCATCTCTAATAAGAATCTATTTTATACTTTCTACAGGTTTGAAGACGAGTTTGCAAATCAAGATGCAAGCTTTAAAGCTTCATAGAAGTCAGCAAATTGGTCATCATTTTGTTAAGATATTTAGGCAAAAAAATTTTTTTTGCTCAAATAATGTGAGAACAGTGCTGTGAAGTATGTATCACGGCTATACCTTGTTACTTATGGAATGTTAATACATTTTTTGTAATTAATTACAAGTTATACATATGAAACTAAGGCTTGACTACGAGTTTAATTTTTTCTTTCTGCATTTAAATTATCTATATTGGAATAACATTTTTTTTAAAAATGACAAGAAAAGATCATGTATTTATTTAGGGACCAATATTCGCTTGTCCTAAAAATATTTTAAGGACCGGATCAACCGTCTTAAAAGACCTTCTTAGCACCAATTGATGTATGTTAGGGAGCAGAGGCGTGGTCTCTAAAACGCTTTTAAGGACCAGAAAATATGTAGTCACTAAAACGTTTTAAGGACCGGTATTGGGCTCTCGTCATTATTGACCTTTAGTGCGGAGCCTTTAGGGACGGGTGGCGATCAGATTTTACTGGTCGTTATATTACTATTAGGGACTAGAATTAGACCTTTAGGGACCAAATTTCCCTTCGCTAATGGTAATTTTTTTGTAGTATTCGGAGTTGGCTGATTCATGCATTGAAGATTTTGAGGCACTATTTTTACGGTGTCTTGTGAGGTATTTACTGATCATCGTAGCTTCCAGCACTTGTTCAAACAAAAGGATCTCAATTTGAGGCAGCGGAGATGGTTGGAGCTTCGAAAGGACTATAATATTACTATTCTATATCATCCGAAAAAGGCCAATATGGTGGCTGATGCCTTGAGTAGGAAGACAGTGAGTACGGGTAGTCTTGCATTCATTCCTGTTAGGGAGAGACCTCTTGCATTTAATGTTCAGGCTTTGGCCAATCAGTTCGTGAGTTCGGAGCCCAGTCGTGTTCTAGATTGTGTGGTTTCTCGGTCTTCCTTATTTGATCGCATTAGAGAGCGCCAATATGATGATCTTCATTTGCTTTTCCTCGAAGACAAGGTCCAGCACGATGATTCCAGAGATGTGACTATTGGAGATGATGGGGTATTGAGGATGCAGGGCCAGATATGTGTGCCCAATGTATTTGGGTTACGGGAGTTGATTCTTGAGGAGGCCAACAGATCCTGGTATTCCATCCTTCCGAGCGCCGCAAAGATGTACCAGGACCTGAGGCAGAACTATTGGTGGAGGAGAATGAAGAAGGATATAGTTGGGTTTATAGCTCGGTGTCTCAACTACCAGCGGGTAAAATATGAGCATCAGAGATCGGGTGGATTGCTTAAGAAGATGGAGATTCCAGAGTAGAAGTAGGAGCGAATCACCATGGATTTCGTAGTGGGGTTCCCATGGACTTCGAGGAAGTTCGATGCTATTTGGGTGATTATGGATCGGCTGACCAAGTCCCCGCACTTTATTCTTGTGAATACTCCTTATTCTTCAAACTGGTTGGCTGAGATTTACATCAGAGAGATTGTTCGCATGCATGATGTGCCAGTTTCTATCATTTCAGATAGAGGCACGCAGTTTACATCGTAGTTTTGGAGAGTCGTGCAGCGAGAGTTGGGCACTCAGGTGGAGTTGAGCACAACATTTCACACTCAGACGATCTGGTAGTTCGAGCACACTATTAAGATATTGGAGGACATGGTACGCGCTTGTGTTATTGATTTCAGAGGTTCATTGGACCAGTTTCTGCCGCTTGTGGAGTTTGCTTACAACAACAGTTATCAGTCGAGTATTCAGATGACTCTGTATGAGGCTTTATATGGGAGGCGATGTAGATCTCCAATGGGTTGGTTTGAGCCGAGCGAGGCTAGGCACTTGGGTACTGACTTGTTTCAGGATGCCTTATACAAGGTTAAATTGATTCAGAAGCAGCTTCGCACAACGTAGTCAAGATAAAAGAGTTATGCCGATGAGAAGGTTCGTGATGTGTTTTACATGGTTGGGAAGAAAGTTCTGCTGAACGTTTCACCCATGAAGGGTGTTATGAGGTTCGGAAAGAAGGGCAAATTGAGCCCTCGGTTCATTGGGCCTTTTGAGGTACTTCAGAGGATTGGGGAGGTGGCTTACAAGCTCGATTTTCTACCTAGCTTGTCGAGTGTGCATCCAGTATTTCATGTTTCTATGCTCCGGAAGTATATCGGCGATCTGTCTCATGTTTTGGATTTCAGCAAGGTTCTGCTGGATGGTGATTTGACTTATGATGTGGAGCCGGTGGCTATTTTGGAGCAGCAGCTCCGAAAGTTGAGGTCAAAGGATATAGCTTCAGTGAAAGTGCAGTGGAGAGGTCGGCCCGTGGAGGAGGCTACTTTGGAGACCAAACGGGAGATGTGGAGCAGATATCCACACCTATTTATGGCTCCATGTATGTTTCTAGACTCGTTCGAGGATGAACATTTGCTTAAGAGGGGGGCGATGTAACGACCCGACCGGTCATTTCGAGAGTTGTAGCCTCGTTCCCCCATTTTCCGCTTCTTTTGTGTTCCACAGCTGTATTATGACATATCGAGTTAGTTGGTTGGGGTCCGGAGTGATTTCAGAATGAATTGAGACACATAGTCTCTTAATTGGAAGCTTAAGTTAGAAAAGTTAACTGGATGTTGACTTATGTGTAAACAAGCTCGGATTTGAGTTTTGAGGGTTCCGTTAGTTCCGTTAGGTGATTTTGGACTTAGGACCATGTTCGGATTGTGTTTTGGAGGTCCTTAGTAGTATTAGGCTTGAAATGCAAAAAGTTAGAATTTTGGAAAGTTTGACCGAGAGTGGACTTTTTGATATTGGGGTTGGATTGAATTTTTGGAAGTTGGAGCAAGTTCGTAGTGTCATTTATGACTTTTGTGCAAAATTTGAGGTCAATAGGACGTGATTTGATAGGTTTTGACGTTGTTTGTAGAAATTGGAAATTTCAAAGTTCATTAGGCTTGAACCCCTGTGTAATTCGTGTTTTTTATATTCTTTGAGGTTGTTTGAGGATTCGACTAACTCGTATGATATTTTGGGACTTGTTCATATGTTTGGTTGAGGTCCTGAGGACCTCGGATGAGTTTCAGGTAGTTAACGGACCATTTTTTGCCGTTAAATGATAGCTCATATCTGCCGCTGTGTTTTTCTGGTTTTCTCTTACACGTTCGCGAGAGGAGCCTCGTGTTCGCAAAGAGTGTTTATGAGCTGGGATATTTTTATTCTACGCGATCGCAAAGGAGAGGACACAAACGCGAAGGTTTGGCTGTATGTGCATCGCAAACACGTGAGTGGTATCGCGTTCGTGAAGAGGAGTGAGGCAATTAGAGACCCACCAGGTCCTTGGTCTACGCATTCGAGAGGTGAGGGTTGCATTTGCGGCGGTCCGTTCGCGAAGAGTAAAGCTGAGGGGCAGTCTAAGTTAGTCTACGCGAATGTGAGAGGACGAATGCGTTCGCGAAGAAGGAAAAGGCAGAAAATATTAATTTCAAAAACGAAGGTTTGAACCCATTTTTCATATTTTGAGCTTGTTCACCGTGAAAATGGTAACAATAATTAAATTTGGAAATGAGACTCTAAAAATATGTGATCTATTTTTATGCTAGTTGTTAGAGCAGTTAATGCTAGGCGTATGAAGTTTAATGACGAAATACAAGTTAAAACGGGGTAGTAATCAAACTGAGGGGCTTGCTATCCGGACTTCGGACTGATCAATGAAAGGCCTAGAGGTCGATACATGGCTCGAGCTTGAGCTATTGGGGGTAACCGGGAAGGGGATAACAGTTAAAATATAATTAAAGAAGGCTCTTTATGGCCAATATCAAGCAATAAATGAAGAACAAGTATGAAAGCAATAAATGGAAAGAGTAGCCTCGAGCGAGTAAGTTAGAGAGAAAAGAGAGAGAGAGATATTATTAATCTTCTGAAGAATGGTTGAGGTGCTAGCAGCCCTTTACAAAGTGGTGAGGATCCCCTTTACATAGGAGGGGAAATCTTGTTATAGTACAACGTATATTAATTATAAAAGCATGGAGATGGGACGTCTAGACGCGACACCTCAATACGGGCTCTGAATAGGCTGACTTTGTCAGACTTAGCCGTGTGCCTTGGGAATTCCCCATTTTTCTCCAGCATCGATCTTCATCGTTTTTGAGTCGGGCCTCGACGAGCCCTGAGGGAGGGAACTCGGCCGCAACTCCACGTCCTCGGGGGCTCAAGACATTCTTCTAAAGTAACTTGATAGCAAGAAATTAGTCTCCGCGTTTCTCAGAATGAAGCGATGGGAAACGACTCTGACACCCGACTCCTCGGGCTTCTCGTGACGACGCCATACTGATGATTCAAACTATGGCACGAGTTTTTGCAATAACCGGGAAATCCCATGGACTTGTGTTTTCAACATCATTCAATGCACTGTCGATTCCCGTTCTCCAAGGTGAAAGTACCGACGTCAATTTGATTCTTCAGAAATGCAGTAATTGCGTCCGCCGGTCAGTCTTCCAAAGGCCTCGATGATCGCGTCATTATCTCCTATAAATGGGGGATTCTGGCGTTGTTTTTCTATCCAAGTGTCTTCATCTACTCATTTCCCTTTTTCTTCTTACCATCCTCCTCTATTGTTGATCACCATGCTTAGAGTTTACGACCTTAAGGTCATTTGGCATCGTTCCGATAGGCCGTGTTGTGGCCCTTTGCCTAAGCTCCTCTTTGCTGAGCATGACTATGCCGTCCTGTCGCTGTCGTGGTTGTTGTTACATCTGCTGCCGTTGTCCCTATTGGCTCGAGATGATGACAGACGGGGAATCGATTCCCCTTTTTTTAGAAAGTCAATCGGACTATACACCGCTGCTCACAAGGGGGCTCAGATTATACACGACTGCTCACCTTCATACCCCGGATCAACATGGCGCTTTGCCCTGGGGTGGCAGTTTGCATGGCTCAAATGTTCCAAGAAGTGGATTCAAAG